GCCATAAGTCTTCATTAAAATCCAAAGCCTTCTCTTCCACTTTAGTGTCTAGATCATGTCTCAATTTCTCACAGGCTTTTTCCACCATCTCCACTATCTTCTTTTTTCAGCACAACCTCACGATTGTCACCAATTCCTCCCTTACCAGATATCGGAACTGAATAAACAACAGGCATTATCAATCGCAAACAAATTAATTTAGTAGTGATTTAATGTTCAAAGTATATAAAATCAACGAAGGGAAGGAAGGCCAACCATCAGAGTATTTGAAGGTGATGTTACAAGCAAGGGATAGAGCATCAGTGCGAATTTCAACACCATATTGCAACTCAAGCTTCCTCAGAATTTCAATCATCCATGGTTCCCTGTCCATCGTTTAAAAAACCCTAAAACAATTTCTTTTAGACAAAAAATGTAATTACCATAAAAAAATTTAAAGGAGTAACTTTAGTTTCAGGTATACACATTCAACTATGTTGTATATATTTGTGTTTTTCAAATATTTATAGAATAAATGATAATCCCGAAACGTGAATTAAGAAGTGTATTTGTGTTTTTTTTAAACTTTTTTTTTTTTTTTTTTTGCACTTTTTCCTTTTTTTTATGCATAAATTGTTCATGAGGGTATATTTGTCCAATTTATTAAATTGTAAAGTTAAAAAAGTCCCCTAAACGGTCAAAGGGTAATTTGGTCAATTTTTCATGTAAAGTGGGTGTCTTTGTCCATTTTTGAACTTTCAAGGGGTGTCTTTGTCCAAAAAAGAAGTAAGTTTCCTCTGAGTGTCCTTTTACCAAACCTCAGGGGGTATAACTGTACTTCAACCTTTATTTTTCTACATTATCTTAGCAGCAAACAAGAGTAGCTAAACAATAAATGGAAGTGGCACCAACACTTCCCTCTATTGAACTAAAAACTGTGTTTAGACAATATGTTTTTTGACAGGAAAATGAGCACCCCTAGAACGCAAAGTACAGCTGAATTAAATTTCTTCCCAACATTCCAAGCAGCCAAACAAGAAGAATTCATTATGATAGTGAAAATTTCATATGGAATTGACCTGTAATATAGTGCAAAACTCACATAGAATTGATCATGTAATATGATGGATGTGAAAGTTTTCCCTGGCTCAGCTCATTATGATGAATGTGAGAGGTTGTCAAATGCGTGTCACAACAAAGCCCTCTGCATTTTAGTCATTTTTGTATAGTTGGATTCATTTAATCTATCTTTATTTTTTGAGAGATAAGCAATTGATTGAATTTCTTGCATTCGGCGTACAAAAAGATAACGAGTTCTCATTGATTCATCCGATTTCCAGTCAGGAGGCAATGTCAGTCGCGGCAACGGGTTGGAACCTGTATCGGGTTTGCCAATTGGATCCATATTCAAGCGATTCAATTTGTTGGACAAATAATATTCGTTTTTGCTTACGGAATCGTTTGGATTAGGGTTGTTCAAGTTTAGGAGTTATGAATTGATAATGCTTAAGCGTATGATTGCTGTACAATCTGTTACACCACTATACGCATCATTTGTTGGGAGAGGTACTGCTAGATGTCTTTTCCATCGGCTCTGCTAGAATCTTACAAAAGTGTAGCAGGACTATGTTTTCACCAGAAGAAGATGACGCCATGTTTTTCGGTGAAGAGTTTGTAGAGCTCTATTTTTTGAGATCTTGAGCCAGTGATATCTTAAGTTTCAAGAAGGTCAAGGTGGTTGTTCAAAGCCATTTAGAGCAGTCCGTTTGGAATTGGATTTGGATATGATCATAAACTTGGACCGGCGTGCAGACAAGGATTTTCATCAACGTCGTCGGTGATTTTGAATGGCATAATTTATTTGAGAAATTGTTAGTTTACGTTTCCCACATGCGGCGCTAACTGTTGATGCAAAAATCCGCACGATCCGGAGCCGAGGGCCATTCCTGCAAGACAAGAGAAGTAAAAACCGGCATAGTGCCAGTCGGATGTACTCCAACGGTCAAATTAGTACTTGACTATTGAATATCTGAGAAATGATTAAATATGAAATTTATGACATAACTTTCTAAGCTGATCGATGAGTATTTTTATAATAGTTTTAATGGTGGTAATGTTTTGTCGTGAAACCAATTCATTTTCCTTGTCCATCATGAATTGGAAGAGTCATGGAAGGGTAGTAGTAATTATATTTATCTCTTTGAGTTTATTCATACCAGTTTTTGTTTTGCTTGAACTTTCTATCTAGTCAAATATTCCATATCAATAAATAAAAGTTAGAATGGTTCCAAGTATCTTCAGGAGTGCATTGTGCCAATTATTTGTCAAGATATATTGTTGGAACTTGGAAATATACGACATATATTTTAAAATTAATTATCGAAAGGTTATATACTTTTTGAAATAGGTGTCAGTGTGATTAAGTTTGAAGACGTGCCTATTCATGATGGTAGAACCTTTTACAGCTTTTCTTAACAATTATGTCTTTTTAGAAAATAAATAATTTTACCAGATGATTTATACATCACCTTTCAAGCTATAAATAAGGTGAATGTGGGAAAATAAACTAAAAATATCTAGATTTTTTTCTCTGTTTGAACCATTCTTTTCTTCTCTATTTGAACCATTATTTTCTTTGCAAATTGTTACTCTTTTTCACCATCATGCTGAAATATTTGTATGGTGAAATTAATTTTCTCTTTTAGTTGTTAGTATATTTTTTTTAGTCATCATTACCCTAACTCAAATATTTGGAATGAATATTTTAAAGACAAACAAAATGAACTTATCAAAAATATTTCAGAAGAGATATTAACATGTCGTACTCAAAATCAAGTTAAAACGTTACTCTCTTTCACCATCATGCTGAAATATTTATATGGTGAAAGTAATTTTCTCTTTTTAGTTGTTAGTATAATTTTTTAGTCATCACTGCCCTAACTCAAAAATTGGGAATGAATATTTTAAAGCCAAACAAAATGTACTTATTGAAAATATTTTACAAGAGATATTAACATGTCGTACTCAAAAAATATTTCAAAAAAGATATTAACATGTCGTACTCAATCTTTAACTAAAAAAACATGTCGTACTCAAAATCAAGTTGAAACATTACTCTCTTTCACCATCTGTGTTGAAAATAATTTTCTCTTTTAGTTGTTAGTATAAATTTTTTGGCCCTAACTCAAACATTGGGAATGAATATTTTAAAGCCAAACAAAATTTACTTATCGAAAATATTTCAGAAGAGATATTAACATGTGGTATTCAAAATCAAGTTAAAACTTTGTTGATGATTATTGGCAACATGTTCAGATATATGCAACTTGTTATCCAACGTCAAGACGGACACGAACATGTGTTTGAGACCAACGCTACATGAACATGTGTTTGAGACCAAGGCCAAGACGAAATGATCTCCATAATTATCGATAACGCGTTTTTCATTAATGTGTTTGAAACCAACACCAAGACGAACGATGACAAACTATAACGAAAGTTATACGTTGAGAATAAAACCATGACGAAACGATATTCATAATTAACGGAGAACAATACTAAAAATAATTAAACTTTATTAGGGTAAAGTTTAATAATTAGGGTAAAGTGTAAAACCCTCTCAATTATTGTCTTTTACAAATAAACCTTGTACTACAAATTACTTTCCTAAACTTTATTGCGATGAAAGACAAACTCATCACAAAAAATTATTTTACCCTTTCTCATTAAATTTGTCTTTTTTTTATTAAAAAATAAAGTGATTAATTTATCGTTAAAATTTTATTATTTATAAAACTTATTATACTCCGTTTAAAAATTTTTATCATGAAAAAATACCTTCCTTTGAATATATTAATGAAAAATTAATAAATTAATAAAATAAAAAAGACGTGCTTTCGGTACAATATATTCAAAATTTAGAAATTAATTAATTTAAATTCTCTACTTAAGAATTTTATTTATTTAATTAATTTAAAAATTAAAAAATAAATTAAATGTGATTCAATAAGAAAAGATATTATGATCATTTAATGAAATATGAACATTTTACAACAAAATGTTCATGAAGTATTATGCACAAAATATACTTCATTGGCAATAGTAGTTTCCTAATTCTAAAGACAAATTTAATGAGTTATTTTAGTAAAATATAATATTGCAATTCTAATTAATAAGGATAAAATGGTAAAAATAATATTTTCTTTATAATTAAATTTTAGTTTATTCCAAACAAACTAATGAAATTTTATTTCAAATCCAATCTCATTTCTTTTCCTTTTTCAATTCCAAATTCAAAAAGAATTTAATTCTAGGAAAAGCATTAAAGTTTATTTAAATAAAATGAATGCAAAAATTATTTGAAGAGAATTAGAAGAAAAAAATAATGAAAAAAAAAAAAAGAAAAAAACCAAATTAAATCGGAACAATAAGAGGAGTAAGAAGGGAAAAACAAGAAAGAATTAGACAGATTTTTTATTTTTTTATTTTTATGGGTGCATTAGGTAATATTTTATAAATTAGAAGTATCTATTTATGAAAATTTTAGTGGGCCAGGCTGGACCTGGGCCATCAGCTCCTAATCTTTCCGAAATAAGCCCCATTTGTTACCTAAGTCCAAACTTTCCAATTGAATTTTAATTGGTCTCAATTTGTTTATTCGAATTAATAATGGACCAATATTTAATGTCCTTGAAAACTTAAAACTATTGTTGACGTGTTCGATTCCCATTCGTTTTATAGCGTCGATAAGAATTATCCCATATAACGTCGGTTTCGTTTCCTATGCACATCTAACTCAAAACTTTGCAGCGAAGTTAACTTCATCCTCCACAAGGAAGTCGGCTTTATATTTTCCTAATTTCACCTTTTATTTCTTCTATAAATTATGTTAACATGCATATCGCGTAAACTCTTTATTCTACCCTAAATCACACGACCCTCCTTAACAGGTGTTACTCTGCAAATTGTTAATTCTACCTCTTGTGTGTGTGTGTGTGTGTGTTTTTCTCTCCCTCACGATTATGTTTTTCTCTATAGATGACCATTATGATAATTATACAAAGGGTGTGGATTATGACACATACTCTGGACTGGATGATTTTGAAGCAAATTCTATATCAAGTGTAGACAATGATGATTTTTCAGAGTGTCTGTGCATACCACAAGACCGACTAGAGGATATAGAGTTTTTTCCTAATTTTTCTGGTGATTTAATCTCTTTCAATGACATCCCTCTCTCGGGGTGGAATGACAATACATCAAGCACTCTACCGGACAATAATCTCAATTTACTTCAATTTTCGAAGAAGAAACCAAGGACTAAAAGGCATAGGAGGAGTATGAAAAGTTTTTCAGGAGTACAGAATCTAGACTTGTCTAAGTACTTGAAGAAAAGAAGATGCAGTCATTGTCAATCAGAGAAGACACCACAGTGGAGGATGGGACCAATGGGGCCGAAAACACTATGTAATGCTTGTGGCGTGAGATACAAGTCAGGAAGATTGGTACCGGAATATCGGCCGGCGGCTAGTCCCACTTTTGATAGTTTCAAGCATTCGAATTTTCATAGGAATATACTGAAACGTAAAGCCATCGACTAGATGACTTTGAATTAGAAACTCTTATTCATGTTAGAGGTGGATTTTGATTCTTTTTTCTCCCAAACGTAGGTTGATTTTGATTTTTCAAGTTTATAGTTTAGATATATTTTTTAAAAATTTATTTTATATAATGAAATTTATGATACTAGACTTCTAGTACATATGGTGTATGATTTTTGGTCTACTCATATTTAGAAGAAGATCAATAATAACTTGGTCCACATTGCCGGGTTCCACCCTATTACCTTAAGACAAACAAGAATCTCGCCCGCAACACACGTGCGGTTCATATTAATCTTATATGGTATATAGCGCAAAGACACTCATAAAACACGTTTACTTGAAGGACCGACTTAGTAAATGGTGGGCCCGCTGAGCTCCTGAAGGGCCCACCCACGTCATGTGATAAGACCCAACCATCCCCCTGTCGTAAATTAAATTCCGCAAAATTCAATTCTTAAATCACTACTCTACCTTGAATTATTAAACTTCAATTAACTCGGTGAAAAAGGTTATTAGTAGGCCCATTTTTCAGACTTAAATACCATGCAATGTTTGTACCATTGTGTTCCTTTTCTTTATTTCGGTAAATTATAGATGTTATATTCAGAAATATCATATTTCCCTTTCATGTAGGGTAAAGTGATAAATCTTTAATAAATAAATACGTCAAAAGGAGATCTAATTACTAACAAGATGGGCATGTAGTGATGGTCAATTCCTTGTTTAACATTGTCCAGGAGAGTCAATTTCCTTGCATCATTTATAGGACGGCGTGACAAAGCAACCACCAAAAGTGGTAACTTCAGGGACTAGCGTATGTATTAGAAAAAGATAGATAGAAAACATCAAGTTTTAAAGACGAATAACATTGTAGCCATCAATTATTTAGTGATGATGATGCATCAGTGTAAACTAATAGGATCCATAATTCCAAAGCGATGACCAGCCCATGTTTAAAATTCCAAAAGTGGGGGGGAAAAATTATCGGAGTGATATGTTGCCAAAACAACTGTCCATGAGAAATAAGACTCGTCAAGAGCAAACAAAACACAAAGCTTTTGAATTTTTTAAGCTGCAGAATATACTTGACACTTTCTCATCATTTTACCAGATTTTATTCCAGTACGAATTGCTAGCTGCAATCAGTGGTGATCTTCATCATCATGATGCCCGTCTGGAGGTCCTCCAGGGCCGACCACTTCCAACTGCACAAAAATATCAATTGAAATTATTTAGAGAGTTCTGATGAAGACTGAAACCAACTGGGTATTTTTGTTCTTTTTCTTATTTTTTGACAAGTGGCCAGAGCCAAATCTACCGAATTACATGCACAGTATAACATTAAAAGCACAGATAGGGATGGCAAATATCCCCAACCCGGCATGGACCTGCCCCGCCTCGTTTGGAGGGACACGTTTATGTAAATGGAGATGGGGATACCCGGCTTGGGGCGGGGCTGAGCGGGGGAATGGTAAACCCGCCCAAATTATGGTGTAATTTTACTAAATTGCCCTTACATATTATGATATATTACTAAATTAGATTAAGGTAAATTGCAGTGACACCCCCCAGGTTTGCCTATTTGACAGGTAGATACAACTTGTTTGCCTAAAAACAACTTGGGGAGAGTCATAAATAAGGAGCCAAACAAGGCCTCAAGTGACATGAAATGTCTAATATGCGCTCCGATGTATTTTCATCCTCACCTAAAATGACCAAACTACCCTAATATATATACATGTATACACTACAACTTTACCCTCTCATCTCTCTCTTTCAATCCTCTCATCTCACTGTTTCCTTTCCTGTGACGGACAGAATATCAGTGAGAAATTGCAACACCTCCGCCACCGCCACCGCCGCAACATCCACCCTCCAACCACCACCTACCATCGCCACCCCCAACACATCGACCCGTTCTTACCACCAACCACCATCGCCGCCGCCACCCAATCTGAGACCCATGTCACCGCCACCCCCACCACTTCTTCCACCCGATCTTAATCGAACCCATGAAGAATACAATCAAACCACGATCCAACCCAATTCGCCATTCACTTAACCCAGTCGCCAAAATCGTGACTGATTCACAGTCCTCACAACCATTTTATCCCCACTGCTAGTCGCCATCGCAAACCTCACCGCCTTCTCCCGTCCAGACTCGGTCTCCAAGGCCGCCTCCCACATCCACAAGAACTTCTCCTACTTCCGCGTGAACTACAGTCGCTATGATCGAGATCTCCCTCCTCTCCCACCCGATCTTAATCGAACCCATGAAGAATACAATCAAACCACGATCCAACCCAATTCGCCATTCACTTAACCCAGTCGCCAAAATCGTGACTGATTCACAGTCCTCACAACCATTTTATCCCCACTGCTAGTCGCCATCGCAAACCTCACCGCCTTCTCCCGTCCAGACTCGGTCTCCAAGGCCGCCTCCCACATCCACAAGAACTTCTCCTACTTCCGCGTGAACTACAGTCGCTATGATCGAGATCTCCCTCCTCTCCCACCCGTTCTCTCTCATCACCCTCCTCTCTCTCCTCGCCGCCTAGCTCTTCCTCTACCTCTTCTGCTCCTCCGATCAGTCTGTCGTCGCCCTTGGCCGCACCTTCTCCGATCGAGAAACACTATTTTGACTAGTGAGTGGAGAGAGGACAAGTGTGTATTTAAATGATATATGTGTAGATATATTTTGTGGTTAAGGACTGATGGGTTCAAGTGATGGTGGGTGGTGTTGGGTCAAGATAGAAGAAAGTATACATGTATATTGATTGAGGCTAGTTTGGTCATTTTAGGTGGTGAAAGGGTAAATATGTACTTTCATTATGTTTGGGGTGTCTTTGTTCAGTTTATGAAAGTTGGGGGGTGTCATTGTCCAAAAAATGCCTAAATTGTATCTACTTGTCGCTTAGCAAACCTGGGGCTGTGAGTGCAATTTACACATTAGATTAAGTGTGTGTGTGTGTGTGTGTGTGTGTATACACACTTTTCTGAAACCCTTACCCTAGCAAGTGACGGAGCCAGGATTTCAAGTGAAGGGGGTCACACTGCCAAAAAAAAAAAAACAATACGGAGTACATATATATATATATATATATATATATATATATATATATATATATATATAACAACTATAAAATTCAAAAAGACGAAGAAAAAGAAAATTATTAAAATATAAAAAGAAAGAAAAATGAAAGAACTTTAAGAAATAGTTAAAAAGTTTCAATTGAGGAAGAAAATTTTGACTTTTTCTACTAAGGAAATTTAAGGAATGTGGAGTAAAAGAAAAAATAAAGAAAAAATAAGAATATAATTTTAGGAACTACAAATTTGAGGGGGGCATTATATAGATTTTTTCATATATATGGAAATTTTTTTAAAAATTACCACATATGTAATAGGTTGCTGGTCAACTCAAGGGGGCACGTGCCCCCCCTAGGCCTTCATTGGCTCCGTCCCTGACCCTAGCCTCTCGTTTCGTTTCACGGTCTCAAAACTTGAGAAACAGAGAGGTGCGAGCGACATTTTCGACACCGACGGCAAGATCAATCCATCGTTGTTGATAACCCATCATCATCACCGATAACCAATCAAACCATCATCCTCGCACGACAATCGACATCCTATGATATATTATAATATTACTAAAATAGGTGAAGTATATATATACACACACACATAGGAGGAAACCCTAGCCACCATTTCATTTCATTTCTTAATTCCTGTGAAAAAAATAAATAAATAAATAAATAAAAGCCAAGACTAGGGATGACAAAATTCCCCACCCCAGCGGGACCCCGCTCTATTTGGGGAGGTTTTGGAGAACCAATTATGTAAATGGGGATGGGAGCTGGTTTAAAAAACCCAGCGGGTTTTGGGGCGATTATAGGGATGGCAACGGAGCGGGTTTGGAGCGGGTTTCTCTAAATCCCGCCCCGCCCCTTTTAATTTTTATCAAGTCCATGCCCGCCCCGAGACCCGCGACGGGTTGGATTTTCATATCCAACCCCGCCCCGTTAGGAAATATGTGCCCCCGTGCCCGCCCCACTAACAAATTTTTTTCTCCCACTTTTTGGAACTTAAACTCCTGCTATTTAAATGTGCAAAGCCTAGGAATGACACAACATAAATAAAATTATGTATCCTAATAAATAAATAAAAAATAACATGCACATAACATAATTCAGAGAACATAATAAACAAAAATAAAAGTTTAATACAACCAAATCACAAGAAGTTCTAAGCTCCAACTTCCACCATAACCAAAACAAAAGCAAATTTAATACCAAGTTTATATCCCAAATTAGGATTATAAGAGATGGGTAATTGGGTAAGCCGCTAAAATAACTTATTAATATATATATATATATATATATATATATATATAGTTATATGCAGGGCGGGGCGGGGCGGGGCGGGGCCCCTAGGATATGTATATTGAACCCTTACCCGCCCCGTGACCCTCGACGGGTACAAAATTTGTATTCATGTCCGCCCCAACGGTATAACAAGTGTTCCCATATCCATTATTAACGGGGCGGGACGGGGCGGGGCCCCGGCGAGGCGGTAAAAATTGACATCCCTAGGCGATTATAGGGGTGAAAAACTTAAACAGGGATGGGGATGGGGAATGAGAACCCCGCCGCATTGTCATCACAGCAACTCAAATTCAATGGTCTTTCCATCTAATTCCAAGTCTTGGGGGCAAAAAATTACAATATAATACTCCACCATGTGGGCCCATCCAATTTTTAAATATAAAATATGAGCATAAAAATGAAGTCACTAACCAAAAACTCGACTGCACAATCAAAACCTGAATAGGATCTGAATGTAATTTGGATCAAGTTACCAGGGGTAAAAAAAATAAAAATAAAAATAAAAAAGAAGAAAGAAAAGGGTGTTGTAGGTTGTAAATAAAATTTTGAAAAAAATGAACTAATAACTTCAGCATGCCTTTCTGTGAATCCTTGCTCAAACTTAAATCACATATTTGGATCACAAGTATATCAGGCAGAGGTAGTACAGTTAAAATTAATGGTAAATCCCATTTCCCATAAGTAAAAATCTCATATTTACATCCATCTTATCATGCCGTAGCAGTAAGCGATTAGTCAAGGATTATCCAGTACTCACCACAAAATACTGTGAGCACACAGGGCATTCATGTGGCTTGCCTTTCTCTAGCCAGAACCAAACAACATCATGCTCGTCTTCTGTTTAATGAATGAAAATTTGTGTTAAATAGTTAACAAGCATTAAGTTAGGTAGATAAAAAGGAAAGATAGTATATTAATTCTTTCAGTATTAACAGAAAAAACATGCAGAGAAACCTAATAAACAGAAAGAAAAATAACTGAGACTCACCGCCTTCATCCCCGGGACATCCAACAATTCTCTTGTCGTAGTAGGACTTGATGACAGCAGGTGCTTCCTACAAGCAACAAAATAAGAAGCATAGTTATGAATGAGATAATTTTTCCAGATTTACTGTATCACTGTATCTATCAAGTTGGAACAAATAATGTTTCAGACACCTCACCCATCAATATTATACGAGAACCAGAATACTACAAGCTTAGGAAATATTAAACAGGTTTGCATATTTCAACAATGTAATATGACCTACACCAATCTCCGTAAAAACAACTGCAATTTTCTTTTTCCTTTGCTCTACTACTGTGCTGAACGTACTTTATAAATAATAATAAGATTATAGCTCTAAGAATAATGATTGTGCAGAATTTTGCACTAATTCTCAAAATCAGAAGGACAATGTGGAGAGCTGAGCAGCACTTAAGGTTCCAAAGAAAACAAAGTTTGACTCCTCCGTTAAAGATAGTGCATAGCACCTTTAGACTTATTAGTAGGTTTCTGTTAGAGCTGAAATAGTAGCAAATATGAATTGTAGACATGGTTCACTCACAACTGGAGACGCCAACCACCCGCCCACCCCCCCCCCCCCCCCCCCCCCCCAGCCCCTCCTCTCTCCCTCCCTCCCTCTTAAAATAATAATAATACTGTAAATAAATTGCCTATTCTCTTTCTTTTTCCATTATAGTCCAGGTTAATGCAGGCTCATTGGTAAACTAAAGTTTTTCAATTAGTGTAAGAACTTTTAAAATGACAAAAGGTACTCCATAAGACCTACAAAAGACATCTGTATTAAAATAGAGATTGAGGACTGTGGGGTCGCACTACTACTGAATAATCAAGTGAATTACAAAATTGAGGCTTATTTCACACAACAGTCAAAGCCATAATAGAAAAGACAGTTCAAAACTATATTCTTTATGATGACAAGTAAAATAGATATCAGCAAAGCTGAATTCATGAAGCCAAAATCCAGCGCACTTGCTGCAGCCTAAGCTGAAAAATGGGAGAATTACTCCTCAAGAAAGGAACATAGTTACTAGGAAATGCTAACACCCAAGGAATCCGCCATTCTGAAATATTGTCTGAAAACATTGAATGTAGCAATCTGTAAAATTTCTTCATAGCACCTTCCCACAATTTTCTTTTAATAGGAGACAACAAGGACAATAAATATAAATCTAACATAATTAGTCTTTATGGGAAAAATATTACAGGAAGGCCCTCATACATCCATAGATCAACGTATACAAAGGCCAAAAGGGTAATTATCCAGACAGGAAACTAAAAACAAAAAAAAACAAAATACTGCAGAAAGGAACTTCAGATATCACACGTATTGTGCTTAACAAAAGGCTTATTGCCAAGTGACATCTACTCCTCTTTCCAAATGAAAGGTTAAGGATTTGAGCCCCCAATGGGGCATTAATAGGTGAATGTATGTGATTTACCTACCAAAAGAAGAAAGGGAAAAAAAAAAGTGCAATGTTTAAGTTACAAAAGTACTCACCACATTGTAGTAATAAACTTCAAATTAAACACTATCAATTTTGTTTTTATTATTCATCTGTATCAGTTAAACATCACTATAACCTCTTGCAAAAAAAAAATTTAATTCCACTTTTAGCATTCTTAGCAAGGGAACAATATAAAGATTAAAATGTACATATGATCAAACTAGAAAAGAAGGCAACAATGATTTAGATAAGAAGTTGCACCCAAAGAACAGAGTAACACTCTAGATGCTTTACATCATAGAAAACCAAAGAGCACAAATAATTTATTGTAAATATAGGATATAACAATTCCAGTAACAAGCGCACACACAATATACCGATAGATAACCAATGGGTATCAGTTCATACGGTATAATTTTTTTTTCTTTTTTTAATTTTTGATAAATAATTCATATGGTATAATCTCTTCTCCAAAAGAGACATTGAGTGTTCGAACCCTGTTAGGACAAATATTGTGGGGGTGTCTAAGTCTGCTTGAACTTTCGGGAAATATGTATATATATATATATATATATCAATATCTTTTGTCTAAAAATATTTTGATATCTTAAACTTTCAGTTGAAATACCTTGCTTAAACCTTTCTGCAAATCACTGGATTTTTTACATGTGGGAATGTTAAGCATTAGATATGTCAAGACTTCAATCCACAAATTTTTGTTAGGGTGGATTTTTTTATAAAAAATTTGGACATCATACTTGCATCGAGTCAATTCTTTTTAGGGTAAATTACTCTGACCTCCCCTGAGGTTTGGCCTAATTACCCTCGGTTTAATGTGTTTTAAAATATGGTGGTCAACCTCCCTTGAAATTTGGTTTATTTTACTCCAGGTACCCCTGCCATCAATTGACTGTTAGGCCTGTTAAAGCTAAAGAAAAAATATCAAAATGCCAAAACTACCCTCGTATGTAGCAGAATTACTAAGGCTTTGTTTGGATAAACAGGAGAGAACAGAAAAGAAAGGATAACATTTTTTTTCCCTAGTTAAGAAAGGATAACATTAGTTATAAGAGAAAAGAAAAGGAAGAATGGCTAAAACTTGTATTCAAGTTTGCATAAATTATGAAGGAAAAGAAAGGAAAGGATAGCATTCTTGTTTGGAAAACGCAAAGGAGAGAAAAGAAAAGATACCATTTTAACCAATTTACTATCATACCCTTTTGTATTTATATTACAAATTAGTGAAACATGCTTTGTCATTTTATTCTTCTGAAAAGAATATTGAACTCATAAAAATGAACCAAGATATGTTATTTAAATTAGGAGACATATCATGGAAAAAAACTGATAGAAAATAAAACTGGATAGAATGATAGATGCAAAATAAACAAAAGAGAGAAGCCAAGAAATTGCAAAACTATTAATAAGAAAAATTATAAAGTGATGAAAAATAAAACCCAATAGTTGGCTCATCATGTTGCACTGAATCAAAACCCAAAAGTTCGTTCTTTTTCTTTTTTCAGGAAAAAAAAACTGTGCTGCATTTTCATTAGAAAACTTGCTAAGCCATTAAGAGATGCCTACAGATTTTCAAATAGTCCCTAAAGTCGAACACATTGTGGTTTAATGCTTGAATCATATTTGCACAAGAAACAATTAGAAAGTAGCACTTCAGATTCCCTGGAAAGACCAACTAAATTCTACTCACTGCAAATAATATTTACACGAAGTAAAAAATAAATAAATAAAACAAAAAACAAAAAACAAAAAAAAAAAAAAAACAAAACAAAACAAAAACAAAAACCATTAATAACAAGCCACCCAAATGGACCAAACAGAAACCTCTTCTACACCGAAGGAATCCAACTACTGTGTTGAAGTCTCTGGTGCTTCTTTGCAGGACATTCGTTGTGAAATCACAAGGATGTGAATAATCAGAATGGCGGGATGATTCTGACATTCCTCGGACTTTTGATGACATCCAAACCTACTAATGAAATCAAATAAGGGACGTGTTTGCTTAATCTCTTATTCATGAGATTAAGAAATCTCCAGATTGTAACAAGAATAATTTATACATTATGTAACCCTTTACAAAAGCAATATAAAGATGAAATTTGTGCTACAAACAGGACAAACCATCATATTCATTCTAGCCGGTGAATTGTTGTTATTCTATCTCCGGAAATGAAGGATGCCGGAGAAGAGAGTTCTCACTGTTTGCTCTGCTGCGCTGAATTCCTCTTGTAAAGTGAACGATCAAATGCCCTAAATTAAAAGATGGGACTCAAATGTGTTTAACAAAAATTATTCTTTCAAATGTTTAGGGCATTTTCGGTATTATGAAAGTTTTATTTATCTTGCTATCCTCCCTCCAATTTTTTCATTTTTGGGAGGATAGCACATGAGGGATTTGGAGGGATAGCTATCCCTCAAATCTCTCCTAATCCTTTCTTTTCTCTCCATTAAAGGCAACCCAAACACAAACCTCACTAACCTTTTTTTTCCAAATTATTCAATCCAAACGAAGCCTAAAATAACCTTAGTAAACTAATACTATACCATTCAAACAGACACCAATATCACAGCCTTTGTTTCTCTCACTTCTCTCCCTCGCTACCACCACCAATGCCGCCATCTTCACTATATATACATATGTATAAATGCATATCACCAATTCATCCTCATTGGAACCCTAGCACCAAATCAAACACAGTCTGATACATAATATACACATATATATTCACACATTATAACACACAAATCAAATATTACTGCAATTGTATATATGTAATATATATATCCAACTAGTAGTATATATTTCGTTAGTTATGTTTACAAAACATTGGTGAGAGAAGACATTGTCCAGGGGAGAGGTAGACAAAGACATTGGTCAGGGAGAGGTGGAATGAAAGAAGATCCATTTCACAAATATACAGAACATATGCAACCCATTTGTCCCATTTGATGGTTTTAGATCCATGTTTTGTGTGCGTGTGTGAGCTGAAGGAGGGAAATGGATAATGGTATCATATATATATATATATATATATATATATATATATATATATATGACTGTTCACCTGCTCACCGGTGTGCAAGGAATTTATGCACGAATTAAATCTTAACCGTTGGATATAAAATTATAAACTACTTTTTTAACTGCCCAATGGAATCTAACGGTTAATACTTGAGATGTGCATACATTTTCTTGCACACTAGGGAGCAAGTGAACAATTCTGTATATATATATATATATATATATATATATATATATATATTTGTAGTTTATAAAATTTTCTGAAAAGGTTAATGAGTGTGTTTCTTTTGACAATGAAATGGAAATGGGTTTGTTGATTCTTGAATCATAGTGCCTGTAGTTTGTTTTTGGATTCCGAGGATTCGAAGGAAAGATACACGAGAGAGAAAATTGTTACAAAAATAAAGATGAGCTCGAATTTGTCATTGATTTCTTTTTTTTTTTGACAAGTGAATTTGTCATTGATTTCTTATACCCTAGCCCCATCATCATCAATCACTTGGGGCTCTGGTCCTCTAAAGAGCATTACGATCACTTGCTTTATGAGTTTCTGTTAACAAACATCCCCAAGTTCCTTCTCTCTCACTTGAATGCGCTCAGTCACTAGCATGTTTAATGTTGTGTAAATAAATAGACAATTTTAACTTGCAAGGAAAACCTATTCACCCTGGAAATCTTGTGCTAGTGAAGGGAGGCGGAGAAAGAGAGAGAGCGCAGAGGGAGAGAGAGAAATGGTGGTGGTGGAGATAAGGGACAGTAGGGAGAGAGAGAGAGAGAGAGATGGAGCGGCGGTGATGGTGGAGGGGGGCAGTGGAGAGAGAGAGAAAGGGGGTAGTCATTTTAATGTTCTTTCTACTGAATATTGTATTATATTAAAATTGATGATATTTTTAGTAATTAACAACTGATAAGCTGAGTAGTTTAAGTGATTGCACACAAAATGTTAGTACAGGTAACCAATCATTAGTCTAAGCTTGCATAAACTTTAATCCAAGGGCGATTAGACTAAACCTCAAGGAAGGTCAGACTAATTTACCTTCTTTTTATTTGCAATATAATTATTCATAGGTTCATACAGATATGTCATCACACTCACCAAATAAAATGGAAACAGAAGTTAGGCTACCAAGTTGAATTCTAGACAATTACTAGTAAAATAAATTTCAACAAAATCAAATATATCCATCAAAATTCTTTAGAGAAAATAACATTCGCCCATTCTCTAATACATGGAGACTTTACATCACATATTGAAAGCTAAATGCCATTTGCAATGAACAGGAATAACTAAATAGCAATTGGCTTTTCAATCATTTGAAAGTAACAATTAACATAATTTTTTTAAAACTAAAATTCATACTAACCTTTGTACCAAAAGGACCTACAGGAAAGTTAACATCCAGAATGTTCCGTCCCTAAAAAAGAAAACACCAATCTCAATAACCAAACGTACAAATTGTGATAAATATTAAACTCAAGTAAACACAATAGCTTAATAGATAATCACTTCAAGCTCAGCTTCCAGCTCCTCGCGCTCATGTCCAGTCGCAATAGGCATTACATCTTCGACTCTCTTCTTGGAAACAACATTATCTCCTACACAATTCAAATAAATCCATACATATCACAATCCAGTCTCACAAAACATAGGGCCTATACATATATATACATCAATACACACAAATACAAGCACACATATTGGAAGATCTGAAAGCAAAATACGATTAGGTATGAGTGAGGAGATGATACCGGATTCTGAAGCGAAGTGGCGAGAGAAGAGAGTGACAGCAGGCCGGAGCGGGGACGGCGAAGGAGAGATGGTGCCGGTGAGGAATCGGTTGGGTGTGGAAGCCGATCGGCGGCATGGAGATAGGGTTCTGAGCTGTGCAGAGAGTCTTCTCCACATGGTTTTTTGAGCTAGGGTTTGTTAATGATCTCAGGTCGGCCCCTTGTTTAGCTGATCAAAAACCACCTCTATTTTCTCTCTCTAGGAATTCTTTTTCAGCAGCTAATTAACGGTTGGGAGACTGAAAAATGAAATAAGAAATGAAATGTAAAATTGGGGAGGCGGAGGCTCATGACAGATGAGTAGGGTGGTCTACCAGTGGGATTGACTTGCACGTGAGAATCAATTTAGCACGTGGGAGCAGAAGAGAAGCAAATCAACAAATAAGCCGAAGTTGTCTAGCTTCCATTGTGGACGATGATGTGGAAGTGAGTGTGTAAGTGAGTTTCTTATACACAGTAAGATACCATTGTATATTTTTCTTAATTTTTACATTTTATAATACCTTTTTTTTATTTATCAGTAAAAGATACTACCGTCTAAATTGTGTGTGTGTGTATATATATATATATAGTATTACTCCGTTACAGAATAAATATTTTTATTTTTATTCTTGGTTGTCCCAAAATAAATTTCACATTAAAAATTTAAAGTCTTTTTTATTTATTTATATCATTACCTAATTAATATCCATGCATTGAACTTATAAAAAGTAAATCTTCACATTGAAAAGACTTGGTTATTCATTCCTTACCAATACAATAACAAATGAATAATATTAAAATTCATCCACTTAAAAAATTAGATTCAAAAACATTTATTTTAGGATAGAGTATCTTTACTATGGATTAAATAGTTTATACATATCAAACATTGTTCAAATTTGATTTTTTTCAACTCAACTACCTCGCTTAAAATAAATATGAACTTAGATTTAATAAGCTTTGATTTTATAATTAGTAAATATAAATATAAACATGAATAAACACTAAAGTTCATATAACAAAAAATTTCGTTTAGTGTTTTCCATATTTTTATTTTCTTTTTTTCTTCAGCAAGTGTTTTCCATATTGTATTGTACTAAACAAAATTCTATTGTGCATGAAGTTGTAAAAAATCTTGGAGTTTGTTTAGTGGAAAGCGAAAGTAGTAGAAAGTGAATCTGAAAAATATATATATATATATATATATATTACCATGTTTCTTTTGTTGCATTTGGTTAGAGTAACATTTTTGTATAGATGTTAAAGAAAAATTTCACTCAATGGTACGATACACCTACAATTTTAAAATTTAAGAAGTAAATAAATAAATAAGGGAACCAAAATAAGTATAATTTATTTATTTTTTGAAACAAAATAAGGGAACCATGGTCAACTTTAAAATTGTAGGTGTATTTTAAAGTTCTTCACTTATCATTTCAAAACAAAATATAAATAATTGAACCGTGGTTTACACAGCTCAAGGTGACTCATATGTTTTGCTTATTTTGATCATGTTTGTGTGCCAATAAATGTGCAAGAGACATAGCTCATTTGGTTCCTTAAATATTTGAAAATCCAGTTGCTCAAATGAGTTTCTAATTAATAATCTGTTTATGAAATTTTAATTAATATTATAAGTTGATTTTAATCACATACATTGGGGCCATTGGGCGTGCACTTTCACTAGCATTATATACTCTCAGAATGGTGAAACATACCACTGCAGTGTGAGCCCCAAGACACGTCAAGGTTGAAGTCAACAGACTACGGTTGTTACTGATTGAGGATAATGTAAGATAACTTATATACATACATATATAAGTAAATGTATTGATTGCAGACAACACAAATCTACAAGTATGAAGTGCGATCAAGCATATAGGATTTTCAAGGAGATCAATCTCCACCTCTTGCTTTGTCCAGCATCTAGTTGAGCATGAGGGTCAGATGGTTATCAGCCACACAATCCACATAATTGATGGTGTAATTCCGGCATGGAACCGGTTTCCAGCTGAGATGGTAGTTCCCTTGGCCTCAGCCAATCAGCTTTTGTTTTTGCCTCTTTGATTTGGTCTCCCGGATCTGATCTTCATCGGATTTTTTCCTCAAGTTTTTCAGTTCTTCCTCGCTCACCAATCCACTAAGTTTTCTGTTCAACTCATATGCTTCAGCTAAATTTCTCTTACATTCTTTGCTTGCAGTATCATGGGAAACCACTGGAACGGAACCAAAAAGGGTAAACAATGGGGCAAGTATAAGATATAGAAAACTCGTGTACGAGCAACTACTCAATAGATTGTCGGGAAGAGCAAAAACTATAATTTAGAAGGAAAGAAAGAACAAATGTTTACCAATTTGGGCTGTATACAAGTGTGGTCAATGATGTTTATAACTGTGATGATTAAATACCATGATAGTATGTTTTTATGTATAATAAGGATACAACTCAAACTGAAATTATGGCATTCCCTTCTCTTGCCTTCATATAGCTACAAAATTACTTCCTTTATCTTGCATTTCGCAACTTCTCTCTGCACTCCTCCCTTTTAATAACAAATTCATGTGTCCCCACCAACCCGGCAACCCCACCCTACGTACCCTAAAGAATAGGCAAGTTTTTCATTCAGCAGATGAAAAGAAATAATCAATCTAGACCATTTAAAGATAGTCAAACATCTCCGGTTGGAAAATCCACTAACATCAGTTTTCAGCAAACACGAGCCCTTGTTTATTCATTCTCGATATAAATAGAATCATTTCTTGAACAGCATTTTCTAATCTAGCAAACAGATGGCACATGGTTCAAACAAGATGGATCAAAGCAAATCGTAACTATAAGGTAGATAAATATAAGGAAGACCATAGACCACTATGGGATAACTGACCTGGTTTTGGATAATCTTTCCCAATTATGCACTTTGCTTTGGTTTGGATGCTTAGTGGAGCTGACCAGGGCTCATAAATATACTCCTTTGGCATATCTGGAATTGGAATGCATTATATATTTCATATGACTGAATACACCCAGTCAATAAAATTAGGAGGAATTTCAACATACCTTTCAGCACAGGGAGAAAATGCCTAATGTAGTTACCATTGGGATCATATTTCTTCCCAAAAGAGGTTGGAGAGTAGATGCGGTTATACTGATCAACAAAGAAAATTAATAAATTATCATTACTTCAACCAGTCCTTTGTCTATAAATGTAAAAAAATCATCGGAGAAAATTTTGCATCTAAGTACAACAGTACAACCATGGTCCAAAATATCGCATATTATGGGGAGACTCGGCCAAGTTGCAACGGAATCGACTAGAGTAAATACTGTCATACCCCTGATAGATCATTGTGGTTGAAAAATCACAAGGGAATTGACCGGTACTCAGAGTGACTCGGAGAGATCCGGCTGAGTAGTCACTATAACAGCCAAGTCAGCCCAATTAAGCTGGCGGACTCGCTTACATTCAAATTACTTTCCGTTTAAGCAGTTCCAAAACAAAAAATAGGGATCCAATCATAAATTGCTTATATATGTGCACATAATATAGATTTATGCTGATCATGATTCTGGACCATTTGATTCATCAAGGTATTTTATTTGGTGACAAGCTTTCAAAAGCCCCCCCCCCCCCCCCCCCCCCCCCCCAAAAAAAAAAAAAAAAACTAACAAATATTGAAAGATGGTGGTCAAAATTCATTCAGTACAATATTTTGGTCCTGGCTAGCATCTCTCCAGTTAACGACACTTGAATTCATAAATTCTGAGGTTGTTATATGCAAGCTATATGCCCCATTCATATGCAATACAACCATGAGAACAGATAAGTTATGGAATAAGAGGTATGCTCTGCACCTGGTAAAAAAAAGATGAGCATGAGAGCCATAACCAATTTCCATTATTAATTGCCCAATCTGAATCGATCAGAAGTCTCTCAAAAACATCGCGCCCTTTTTCCCAGTGAACAAACTATTAGAAAGAATTAATGTCAAACAAATGGAGATAGAATAGTAATATAGGGTTTATAAGAACTGAAACTTATTTACCAGATCTCCACGAGTTAGAAAACATGCAACACAATGCCGTGCAAGATGGTGCATCCAACCCCACTTCCGAAGCTACAACATAAATTTAACTTCAAAAAGAATGCCACATATTCATCTAGAATATATAGATTCACACAGGTTAGAGAACCACCAAATACAATTCTCTAGTTCAATCATTCAAGGGTATCCTGTCCACAGACCTAACCTGGACCATGATGGCATCAATCCAAGGGAATCCTGTCCTGGCATCTCTCCAAGCTGCCAGCAATTCATCATCATTGCTCCAAGGAATCTACATCACAATGGAGTATTTACCCATTCATAAAAACTCCGTGCCTATTGAGTACCCTTTTAGACAGATCATATACAAAAATTAAATAATAATCAGAGGCCATTTTGCTTCTTTCTCTTCTTTCCACCCCCAACACCCCCCTGCCCTGCGCCTTCTTTTTTGGCTTAAATGATTAGCAATCTCAGTTCAAGAAGTTGCAGTTTATATAAACTGAAAGATGAGAAAATAATCAAACTTAGAAATGCATGTGATAGTTTTCAGTTTGCTTTAATTATTAGCACCCTTTTCTACAATGGGAAACAATAACAGAAAACAAAGGTGACCAACAGTTTGATAAGGATGTATGATTGTGACCGGAATATAGTTAAGCTAGGTTAGCTTTCTATCCCAACAAGGGGGGAGCCAGTCATCTGAGATGGATTGCTTTTGCAAGGCTAGGTTGTCAGAGAGTAGCAGAAAACTTGCATAGCAGAATATGAATAAATGCTATTTTGTCCAAACAATTTCGCAAAAAATGGGATGTAATATATAAAATTGAGGTGATTTTCCATTAATTGAAGATATTTCACTGTCATTGATGAATTGCCTATATTGTGCCACAGCCATTCTCGTAATGTATTGTCCCCAAATAAGAATGAAACCGCCAAGATAAAAGTAAAGAAAACTGAACAAGAAAAACAAGTTGATAAAATCCTTATACTGCCAGTATATTAAAATGCAATCCCGTCGATGATCCTGCTAGAAGAGACCTTCATATCTAATAAATACTTATTACTTATCAAAAAAAATAAAATCTAATAAAAACTTATTTCATAATTATTTATTTTGCCAATTATACCCTTTTGTTTTAAGTACTAATTGATCAGTAAGAACTGAAAAGGATTACAAGGATATACGTACTAGGTGTGTGAGTAAGTAGGCACTTCATCCTCTTGGAAGAGCCAAGGTTATCTTCAAAGTCATTTGCAGTTCTAATTATGATAACGAACAGTCTTTAAATCTTAACAGGAATACTCATTATAAGCATTAGTCATACAATCACAATCATGGATCGCAATCTATAAAACCTAATTAAGTTGATTATCAAATGTGTTTTACATGGAAAAATAAAGACAACAAAAAATGGGATGTGTTTTACAGATATAGCAACTTGTGCGCAGGAAAACAGGATGGAATGTAAACTTGCAATTACCTGCTTGCAGATTCTATTGTCCTTCATCCGATCAAAATTAGGAGTGCCAACAGCAACAGTATAGAAAAAGTCTCGCCATAACAACTGCCGAATATGAAAGCATTAGTTAGATTGCTGCATATAATACCTGAATACAAGTAGTACTTATAAAAAAAAATACTAAATAACAAGAAGACTGACCTGTCCAAGAAGGGAAACTGGTGGTGAAGTGTGCCTGTTGACATTGTTCTGAACATCCTGAATGCATTGGTAGAAATACCTGGAAGAGAGACAACCAAACTTCCAAGGAATTGAAAAAGTAGCCAAAAAATTAGAACAGATAAGATATCAGCTTACTTCAATTTTCAGGAGAAATGCCCAAAATAGTTAATCAACATCTCACTCACTTTCAAGTAAGGTGACAAAACTGTTGTCGCTGGCTTTAGAAATGCAGATGGGTCACCCTTTGGTTTCTCAAAGTTTGCCACCCATTCCTGTGACACAAAGAATGAATGTAGTTAAATAAGTACAATAATCACATGCAAACAGGGGAAAAGAGATGGAAAGCTTGTAGACTTTTACATAAAATAAATAAATAAATAACACAAGGATAAACTTACATGAAAATGGTTTAACTTAGTTAAGATCTAAAGTAATTTTTCATGGTTTCTGGAAAGCATTAGACATTGCATTCATGGTATCTTATAAAGGTTGTAAAAAGGAGATATTGCCAGATCATGAAACACCACCACCACCAACTCAAAAGCACCTTTTTCAGCTAGAGAAAGTTCCCCACAGCGAGTTTACATTAGTCCATATAACTTATATGGTTTTCTAAGCTAATGTATCCATAAAATTCTCATCATAATCGCATATATAACTTTTGTAGATGTATCTCTGAGTATTCATGTATCATTTGTGGCCATGAACCTCCTTTGAATGTTTTATTCACTCAACTCTTCTATTTTCGGTCCGAAACGAAAAAGAAAAATAAAAAATAATAAGGAATCCGGTAAAAAAACAAAAACCATAGCCGCTAAAGTAGTAATAAATCATGTCAGTAAAGTCATATAGAAATACTAACGCTATCTTATCTATTATCCTAAGCGTTTTCTCTAACTCGCTCCCCTACTATACCATACCCTACTAGGCTAACTCAGCCGTTGACAACATGAAATTTCTCATATTATATATAACATGATTTCCTTTAGGGATTTACATCCCTTATGTAGGCATACTATAACATGATGCAGACGCTAAAAATTAATAAATCAGAATTCATTTTTAGATTCCAAAAAAAAAAAATTAGCAAACTTTAGAGCAATCGCAATCCAGTCAACTAGATTATGACTTGCGTTAAAATAAAGTCATGCGCTAATTTTTTCTTTAAGAAAAAGTGCAACATGTGCAAAGTCAAAGAGTGTTCACTACTACTCCAATTGTTTTACGTGTGAGTTATGAAGGGGAAAGAGTAAAATTTGTGTTTCTCAGAAAGGTATAAGTTCAAGTAAATTTTGAAGGAACCAATTAGAGAGAAGATCAAAAAACAGAGCCTTAACAGTCTTCTACCATAATAATGCAGCCTATAAACTACACCATACCTTGTCCTTAATTGATTCTCTCAACCTCTTCAATGCTTCTGATTCACCGCCTTTAAAAGGAGTTAACTCATCCTGCATGCAAATTCTTATCACAAATAATTCTAAACGAAAGCACCTGTTCGGAAAATCAATAGCTTCCAAACCTGTCCGATATCTTCATAGCCAAGTTCTTTGACTATAGGGACTTCTGAAATCTCACAATTTCCAACATTTCCAACTGAAGGAAGCGAAGAAATCATGGTTGAGAGCGGGGATGACGCCCAAGAGGGTTGCCCAGCAAGCTTCACAAATGATTGATAACTCAGAGGCGGCCTTCCCCCATTCTAATCATACATTTGTCATTGCATTTGCACACATCAGCCATGGACTTTATTATTATTAAATCAAAGAGCAAGTAAAACTCATGGATTCAATCATCATTTCTCATTGACAAGCAAATGACATCCTTTTACTTAAAAAATTAACAAGTCATTCACACAAATAACCCGAATCCAAACTCAATCAATACTATGCTCACCTTTCGTATGATATCTGCAGGATTAAAGAGAGTGTGACTGACAGGAGAGAAAACCTCAATACCAGCTTCAGAAGCATACTTCTGTTGAAACAAACATTCACTTCTAGTTATTTGATATCTATAACTGAAACACGTTACTACAAACTACAAAGCTAGTTAACATTTTAAGATGGTTCCAAGAAAATTGCACCCAAAAATGACATACTATCAGTTATCGCCTACCCAAAAGGGGGAAAAAAATTTTAAAATGTCTATTATCATTTTAGGCCAATGAAATGCATTTCAAATGAGAGTTGCATTAAATATGTTTTTGAGTTGGAAAAAAGGACATCCACCTTGATTTTAACATCTAAATCTTGATAGTACGGTTCTGTGTCATGTTCAAAGCATAGTTTCTTTATATCCCACTGCAACAACAAACAACACTCAAAAACATATACTAACAAAAACAGAGTGCATGTATATACATAGAGGAGATGATTATGTACCTCTTTGAAGCAGCGAATCAAGACCTCGCTGGGTTCACCCTTCAACACCAACAAACGAGACCCGAGTTTCTGGAGGCTGGAGTCGAGATCCACGAGGCTTTCGAGCAAGAACCGAATCCGGTTCAAGCCGGCACGGGCTGATCCGGGAGAGAACGAATTAGGGTCGGGCTCCATGTAGTGCGGGTCGATGACGAACACAGGATAGAGGTAATTGGAGTCACTGGCGGAGTACTCGAGAGCCGGGTTGTCGTGGATCCGAAGACCCTTTCGAAACCACATCAGGGAATTCGGCCTGGAGGCCATTGAAGAAAAAGTGCGGGAGAGAGGGAGGAAGCAGTGAGATGAAGAGAGAGAAAGTGAGAGTCGCATTGAAGGGAAAGGATCAAGAGAGAGAGGGTGCCGCTTTTAACGTTTTTCCCGCCATAAATGGGTGCCATGATGTTATCTAACGTGCGCTCGGAGATTGGGGTTGGAGGTTTTGCCACGATAGCTTGAGCAGGTGAGCAGCCGGCGTATATTAGAACAGTGCGCACTTATTCTAGTCGGTTGATAAGTTGCCACGTCGTCTGTATTTCATGGCTTCCCTCGTATCCACGATAACTATAAAGAGTGGACACCGACGGACACCGACACGGGACACGAGTACGATACAACACGGACATGGCGATACGACAAATTTAAAAAAAATAGGATACGGACATAGCAAGGATACAGTAATAAAATAATAATATATATTTTTATTATATATAAATTTTTAATTTCTCTTAATTTTTAATTTACATTAATAGACATAATCCATTTAAATTAAGTCCAATCCAAATTTTATTAAAATTCAAACAATAAATACCTAATATATCTTTATATCCAATACTAAAATTTATATCAATACTATAATAGTTTTAACTTTGTAACCAAACACAACAGAAGATACGATTAACTTTATAACCAAACACAGAAGATAACATTACAATCTTATCTTTCTATCTTCTTCCTCCGTCTTCCCGAGTTTGGTCTTTCCAAGTTTGACTGTCTCTTTCTCTCTTCAAAATTGAATTCCTCTCTCAATGACAAAGGAAGAAAAAGGCGATCAAGCCTTTGGTTGAGATCTGTTCGCAACCAGACGAGAAAGACTTTAGCAGAATCGGAATGCCTCCTTCTCTTAACTTTCTTTCTTCATTCTCCTCCATCAATAACCGACCAGAGCATGATTCTTCATCATCTCTTTGTTGATTTCCCTTTTCCCTTCCAATTTCTCTCTCATCCCTTCCATTTTTTTTATTAATCTGAACTACCATGTCATACACCAGTGTCCTCCGACGTGTCTCGACCGTGTCCTCCGACGTGTCCGACTTGAAAAAATGAATAAAAAAATAAGACACCGATAAATCCGTGTCGGACACGTGTTCGAGGCTGGGACAAGCGTGTCCATGTCGGACATGTGTCCGACACCGGTACTTCAGCTCTATAACACGTGTCCGTGCTTCATAATCCATCCAATCCTCCCCGTCAAGTGATGGAGCATAAAGAGACCCAAATGCATAAAAAGGGACACTATTGTGTGTTTAATTCAAATAATTTACCAATGAAAATTTAGAATTGAAATGAGGGCATAATAGTCATTTTCTTTATTTTCAAAAGTCAAACAAAAAGTTTAAGAGGCTAATTGGGACAAATAAAGTTTTAATGAGAAATGTTTAAGAGGCTAATTGGGACAAATACAGTTTTAATGAGAAATTTGAAGATGGTTTTAGTGTAATTTTGCGATTATTACAACAATCGGAATGAAGTACCATTTCTGTTTTAAAATGTTGATAGAGTAGACTCTCGGTCTCCACTTGGGAAGATAGATTCCCTTTGCAACAAACAAATAAATACCGGTAAAGAACTGAAGATAGATTTTTGACATACATAAAGATTAATCGATATCATTGTATTGCTAGCAGGCTCTCTCAATTTAAACTCTATCCAGGAACTCGTTGCTGAATTTGTTCAATATTATGAAGCACATTAGAACAGAATAACAGATATCATTGACGGTTCAATTCGCTGAGTTACACCACAACTATAATCTATCTCAGCAGATGGGGTCATGCGTTCAAATTGTGAGAAACCATCCACATAAACCACAACACGCATGCTTGCCTTGGCAGGAGCAATCTATTTTTAAAAAAACAGTTTTTTAAGTCAACTAGTACTAGACAATGTAAACATCTAACATGTGAGAATATTGAAAATTAATATCATATTACAACTCAATGTTTTAGTCACCAAAACACCATCTAAAAAAAAAAAAAAAAAAAGTGTTGATGGCAGAGAATGCCCAAAGACTGCACGCTTCAGGTCACTGTCCAAACTCCAAAGTAATTGAATGGGAGAAAGCTTCCTCATTTAGAATTCTCTATTCAAATACATCATCATCATCATCAGGAAGGGGCTGTGCAGCAGCTGCCATTAATTCAGCCTCATGCCTGCAACGTAAACAAATCCAGATTACAATGTACGTGTTGACCAAGTGGAAACAGAGGAACAAAAGCTCTAGACACTCTTGTTCAAAATCCAAGTCCAGCAATCACAATGTATTCTTGCACTTCCAACCTAAATCTAATCTTATATCGTAATGTCAATCTGTAACCTTGATTTTATGTTTACAAATTCACAGGCAGATTAAGGGTCTTTTTACATAGATGATTCAAGGCTGTAACACATGGCATAACCCACTAATGCCGCTGTTCAACCAGACCCAACAAGACTCAACTGTTCTTCTGTACTCATCCCCCAAATTAAAACTAAATCTTACACGCTAACAATACAAGTAAAATAAATAAATTAAATTGGAAATGTACACAGAAGGACACAAACTACTTACTGTTGTTGTGCAGCCATGTCAATTTGAACTTCTGGAGGAGCAAGAGCAGGTGACTCAACAAAGTGAAGGTTAGCATCCCTGCAAGGTTGAGTAATTGATTTACCCACACCCCTCAAATATAGGATAGCACTAAAACCTAAATTAAGAAAGAACAACATTCTATGTAAAATTACCCTGAAATCTTCCTAGCAAGATAGAGGAAAGGCTTCTCAAAGTTATAGTTGCTCTTTGCAGAAATCTCGTAGTACTGGAGATTCTTCTTCCTGTGGAACGTGACCTGCTTTGCTTTCACCTGCCTATTCTTCACATCAACCTTGTTCCCGCACAAAACTATCGGGATATTCTCACACACCCTAACATTAAAAGCAGAAAGTTTATTTACAATTGTCTTTCAATGTAACAATAATATAAATAAGGACTCATCAAAAGGACCCATAAAACAGACCTGCATAAATCCCGGTGCCAAGTCGGAACATTCTTGTAGGTCAAACGTGCAGTTACATCAAACATTATGATGGCACATTGTCCGTGAATACTGTATAGATCAAGAATTAAGAGCACATTAATGTGGATGCATACAAGGAGAAATCATAATAACTTAAAAGTAAAACCAGCTACTGAAGAAGTTGACTGAAATTCTGGAGGCAGATTAGTCATGTTGGTTTTGTTAAGTAAATGCAGAAACAAAGCATCTAAGAAGTATTGAGCAAGTTGAAATGAAAATTTTAAAGCAGCCCACATCAAGTAAAAGCAATAGAGGAAGTGGAGCCATAAAAGTGGTTCAGGAATTTAAAAGTTCAATTTGATACTTTTAAGAAGCAACTTAGACAAATTTTCAGCACCTTATTCCAGCAGAATTGTTTAATATCTATCACAGGTGACCACATAAATTACTTTTAATCAATAGCTAATTGTGAAAAAACATTGAAGACAAGCAACCCCATTCATCAACCTGCAGAGCAGTTCGGCAAGAATACCTACCCAGATATTATCTAAGAAAAGTGATACTTTGTATCAGACAGTATGAGATAAAATGATTAGGGATGCATAAAAATTATGCAAAAACAACAAAAATTTCAAAAAATTAATGTCCTTTGGGATACAAAAAATGAATAAATGGTTGCTGGTTTATAGTTCCAGGATGGAAATTGAACTAAAAAATAAAAACCATGTGACACATAATTATAAGCATAAACTTCAAACAAGTCAAATGAATCGTTAACTTGCCAAAGTTTCTCTAACACAGACACACGGGGCTATGTGTACTCACCGAGAATATGACAACCCCTACTAACTAAACCAATAATTAAGAAAAAAAACTCAGTGACAAAACATAAATATCCAATCTTCATAAGATAATAATTCTCAACATTCGAAGTCCTTGGCCTCAAAACTTCCTTAGCTGAAAGATGCTCAAACACAGATATCCTAACCAAGTAACAACGTAGCATCTCAAGAAAGTGAAGCGAGATAAATTACTTACCAAATAAAACTGCGCAAAATGTAAAATCTCACCATCCATGTTCTCAAGCTGCTTTCAATATCACCAACATATATATTGTAAGGGTGCGAGAGTTGCAACTTTTAAAAAGGAGTGAACCTCTTAGATGATAATTTTAACTCATGTATACAGCTACCTATTTTAATGATAATGATAATGCACATGATTTAAACCAGGCAAATCTTGAATATCACTTCCTAATCTACATCAAGATTAAGACATACATAAATAGGTAGCCTTCTACAGATTCATTGATCAAAAAATAATATTCTAAGATTATTCCTTTAAATAAATCAGAACAAATATATCCAAATGCAGTAAATATCTAATAGGCTTTCATATACAGTGACTAAAAATCTACAAACAACGTACAAAAAAACAGCTACACAAAATATTTGTTCATAATTAATGCATCGAGGGCATAAAAACAAATAAACAATGAAAACATTCACAGATAACTTACTAATAACCATCCCTCAGTCCTCCAAACTTCTCCTGCCCAGCCGTATCCCAACAATAAAACCTTATCTTCCCACAGTTTGTGAAGAAGTCCAAAGGATGAACTTCAACCCCAATCGTCGCTGCAAATCAAGAACTCCTTCCATTCAATTTACTAATCATCTACATAAACATATAAATATGTATATATATTATTCCATTTATATATATATAAGCAACAGAACGGAAAGATAGCTTACGCTCATATCTCTTCTCAAACTCTCCTGTAAGATGCCTTTTTACGAACGTCGTTTTTCCTGGAACATTATACAAAAATCTATAGGTCAATTTCAAGATCAAAGAAATAAAAAGAAAAGAAACACAACAGATCAAACGATTGAATCAAAAATAAAATAAAAATAAAAACAATCGATTTGAATCAAAGATCAGATCCAAAGTATATAACAACTAAAAAGCAGATCAAAACCACACAATACTCAAACGAAACGAAACGCTGAAAACGAAACAAGCACCTGTGCCTCCATCGCCAACGATTACGAGCTTAAAGCTTGGATAGTCCACAGTTTGTTGGTTAGGAAGAGCCTGTACGCACACATAAACACAAACATAAGCGATCTGAAGTTCATCCCAATGAAAACCCAAATCTAAAATGAGAATGAGAGAAAAATGCGGAGAGATTTACCATTTCTCTATTTTGCGTCTGAAGAAAGCAGTGTGGAGGCTGAAGAATTTGATTTTTGAATGGAGAGAGAAAGAGAGAGGGGTTTGGGTATTTATAGGGGGAGGGTCTGGTTAAAGTGATGGGCTTTTGAAGGGTTTATGGTGGCTTTTGTTTGACGCGAGTCTCTCTGCCGTTGGATTAGATCCCGCTTCAAAACACCGCTTGAATGTGGACCTTACACTTGGCAAGGCCTTTGTGTACTGTACTTCCTTTCGTGGGCTTTGTGCCTTGTGGATATGGGTCAACAAGGTTCGGTAGGGCCTGAATGGAACGATAAGATACTAAAATTGGGGCCTAAAGGGAACAAAAAGATACCAGAATTGGCCTTTTGTTGGATTGGATTCTAAATAGTACTACCTGTAAAAGAAAATTCCACAGATAGGTAAAGTCAATTTTTTTCTTTTTTTTTTCTTTTTTTTTTTTCTTTTGATACAGTTAAATTTTAAAAATTGCACTTAAAGTACTAAAATTAAGAGCATCTCCAGCGGATTGTTAAAATACTCTTGTGTAAAATATACGCTGTCACCTTTAATATGCAAATTTTTTCCATCTCCCGCAGTCTATTAAGATACATTACCATATCACCAATGTGTAAAAAAGTTGTGCATTTTACACAGCATTTTTACACTACCAGATTAACATATTTCCTTTCTCATCCCTCTTTCTCGTTCCATTAAAAAATCAAACATATATTAAGTAGGTTTGTAAAAGTTATGTGGGGTCCTGGTATGACATATGGTTGATTGTCATTGGGAGATATATTTTTACACAAAAAGGTATAAAACAACCTTTAGAATTAAAATTAAATAATTCAAAATTTTTATATAAATTCATCATGACACATCAGATTTACAATATATATATATATACAACGATCGGAGATGCTAGCCCCTAAACTATTTCTCCCTGTCCCATTTTATTTATTCCTTTTTTGGAGTCTATATATATATATATATATATAGTATTAGTAGTGAATGAATTACCATAGTGATTTTATAAAAAATAGTACACTTTTCAAATGGAACAATTATTGTGGGACGGATAAAAATGAAAAGATGGACGTTTATTTTGGGAATGAGAGAGTAAAAATTTGCAAATAAGGCCGAGGACTGCTAATTAATTCATTCTTTACTTCTTTTTTTCAGTAGTCTTTTTTATTGATGATGGATTATGTATATAGTAAATATTATTAATTTATTCTTTAGATGTGGATTATCATGACTATAAATTTTAATTGAAGTAAATTATAGAAGAAGAAGAAGAAAGAATGAATGAATCCTTTAAAAGACAATTCAAAGGGAAGGATGCTGCATCCGTAACTTGAACATGAAACCTTAAACATAAATTCCAAGCACACTATTAACTTGGCTACTACGCTTTCATAACTTAAATATAATTATTAATATAAATAATATTTTCGGACTTTGGTTAAGTTTCGGGTTTCATCAATATCAACCCAAGCCCAGCCCGAATTGAATTCGGGGTCAAAATATATAGTCCAAGTCCAAATCGAAATTAGAAAAACATTGCACAAGCTCACAAAATTTTGGGCTGGGCTCAGGTAATTTCGGGTTAGGCCCACCCGAGTTGCAGCCCTAGATAAAAGAAAATAAATAATCAATAAACAAAAGAGGATAATATTGTTTTATAAATCTATTTTTTCAACCAATCACATATGTGACTTCTAAAGACAGCGACGGTAATTAGCCGTCCTCAATAAGGCCAATAGCTTGAGTGACCATTGAATGATTCATATAAATTACCAAACCTTTTTTAAAGTTAATTGCACAAAACTAATTTGTATGTTATTCCTTGAGAAGAGGAGCAATGCTTTGACTGTGGGGGTGGGATAATTCTAGGAAATCACCTGGGACATCCCGTGAAAGTGGCCTCAGTTTTTTTCTCCAATGTTGCTGGCCCATCTTTGGCTGGAGGGCTTGGTCCTCCGCGAATCTCTTTCGCTGCTTCATCTTTGGGGCTATCAAAATGTGATTATTGAAGGGGACTGCAAGCCGGTGATGATTCTTAACCCTCTGTTGAGGCTTTGTATGTTGTTTTTAATGATGTTTCTCATCTTCTAACTATTTGTAATGGGTTTCTTTGGGTTCCTAGAGATGGTAACTGTGTAGCTCATCTTGTGAGCAGAAAGGCCTTGGCGGCCGAGTGTGGTAATCTGGAATGGGATGTCCGGCCTAAATGGCTTTTAGACTCTCTGTCTCTTGACTGTAATCCTTCCTTTTCTATTTGATATGTTTCTCTTGTTGGTTAAAAAAAACCAAATGCTTTGACTGTTTATTTTTCAAGGACAAGTTTATGCAGGTGTGTGCACAATTTTTTATACTTCTTGGAGGTTTTATGCCAATGAACCCTAAAATTAGCATAAACGAGGGGACAAGGATGTGAAAGGATTGTGCTTGGTCTCTCTAAAACCATCTTGTAAAGAATAAAATTAATTTCCAATCATGTCATTGCCTGCCAACTTTTGCGATTAGGATGGATGGTAAAGAAAGAAAAGTTTTCAAATTGCAACGACTCTCAACTCTAGTTTTGATTGAGAGTTCTAAGAATTAGGAAATCGTAGTACACACTATTCAGGATATCAAGGATGAAGATAGTAACTTGATTTGATCCACAGATTGATGCATATTTTGCCGTTACGCACAAGAAACATTCACGCTCGCGCGCGCGCGTATATATATATATATATTTGCTTACGCATTAATATCCCATAACCAAATTTAGCGAAATCTGAATCCATTATCAGTTAGTTGTTCAGATACTTGAATCCACATTAAAGTGGAGTTCATACTTCATAGTGAGCATATCTTGCACCTGCTAGCCTTTTCCTTGTTTAATACTGATGTTGACAAACACTAAATCATATTTGAGTAATTGGACAGATGTTCTACTTTTATGCCCTTTTTAAAAAAAAGGGTTGATTTATTTTAATCAAAATCAAATAAAGTAATGCGTTAACAAATTTGTTAGTGGCAAAAATATAAGTGAATAATCCTATAATATAATCATGAGCCACATCCTAGTTTTCATTTTTGGTGCTCCTCTTTGATAACTGACAAAGACATGGTCAGAGACAGATTCTAAGTAACAACACTTTCCAACCGAAGGCCAAGGCCAATTTCATACGTACAAGAACAGCACCGGTATTTAACAAATAAAAGAGAGACATATATAGAGAAGGAAAAGCAGAACATCTTCCTTGAGACACTCCATCTTTAGGAGAAGAAAACATTCACTACTGGTACTCTAAAAAAGTATTTAGCTTACATATATGGTTACCTTAGCCAACATGTTAGATCTAATGCCTGCATGTCGATCATCAAGTAATTACATATCCTGAACTCGAACTGCACAGGGTGGGGCCAAAAAAAGGGGGGAAAAAAGAGAAGAAAAGATGTATAAGAAACTAAGAAAGGGCCAAAATAAACACTAGAACAACAGAATTATGAAACTATTGTTAGTCATGATATTAATCCAAGGGTACACCCACTCCATCATTCTAAGCTTTTACCGGAATTGGCATGGCACCCAAGCGGACAATTATGTACGAATCTTGTCACTTCCCTTATAATTATAACACGTTCACATGTTATGGTCCATTTTTTGAGAGAAGTCTGGCCATATATGAAAGGCCACGCTAGTGATATTACACACTCCCCGTCAACTTAAACTTTTAGAAGAGGTGGTTGTTAACAGCTATATTTTGGAAACGGGACATTAATTTACCAACCCAACCAGGAATACCGTTTTCACCAGTTCCTTGAATGACTCAACCTTGGTGTTGAATTAAAACTTGGTGACGGCTCCATCAACTGGTTGGATTGACATGTCCAGTTCTCAAAATATACTGCGTTCGACAAACAATCACTGCAACGAGTCAAATAAGAAGCATACCTAAATTTGAAACGGGGAGAAAGAATTTGAACTCTGAAGGCCACTCAATCACCTGTGAGGTTGATCTGAGCCTGAAGCTCCAACCGCTGTTGTATTTGGTACACTGCTTGCTGACCCATTCTCAACTGGTGCCGGCAATCCCCATTTGCCTTCAGTTTCAAGAGGTTCAAATACATGAACTCCACCATCTGATAGACCCAAAGCAAACTGATTTGGTTCTTGTGGATGTGCAGCAATCACGAGTGGGTGGACATTTGAATGGCTGCAGTGAAATTGGAAATTGTTGTAATAAACAATGTTCACATGTAAGAGATAAAGCATGATTTTATCACTCAATGTCTAACTTAAAATACGAGAATAGATAAATGGACATAATATAAAGCAGAATTCAACTGTCACTTGGTACTCAAGAAACATATCCAAGGCCAAAGATCATCTGGGTTCACTTTAAGGCAAAAGTGAAAAATCTTGAGCATATTAGGAGTTCCAATATAGCATTTGCACCAAATAAAAATAAAAGTAAAATCTGGAATTTGAAAATTTAACCGATAAAATAAATTTTAATCCAAAATTCATGACATCACAGAGAAATAAGAAGTCCAAAATCAAAATATTTTGAAATGTATTACAATTAAAATAAGCTTCATCAACAGGCATGCCATTCTAGGAAAGTTGGATATCTATCTGAAAGCAATAAAGGTTAGGATAGTACCTGACACTGGATGAAAGATAAGTGGAGGGATTAATACGGCATCGCAGTCGGAGATTTGCAGCAGTAAATACACAAACACTTGCATCCAAGAAGCTCGCATACACCAGCTGGCTATCGCACGAGAATGTTGCATGAGATATTGGGGCAGCAGATTCACGGGGGACCCACTGAAAAAACAAGAAAGCATCAAAGACTGAAAGATGCTTTTTTCGGTAAATAAAGGCTGAAAGATGTTACTCCCATAACAAAGTATATTTGGGAAAGAAGATACCTGCTTTGTGCATTCTAGTTTCATTGCATCATATATGGCAATCTGAGACTCGTGTACAACAAGGAAATGCATCTGGTCCTGTTGAAACTGCACACGAGTGTCTGACTGTGCTGTTGGTGTCCTCCCAGTTGGAACCTGCAAGAATCTGGTCTTTTGCTTTTCCCATCCGTCGGAGTTCCATACGCAAAGCTATAGGTGAAAAGGAGAAAAAGCAAGTGATGAAGGAACTAATATTAAATGTTTGACTAAGCTTCACTTTTTTTTTCCTTCCTTTTTTGGTAAGGAGTAAGCTCCACATTGGAGGTCTCAAAAGACACGAGAATTTATCTAGAGAAGATAACTCCAGATCAGGAATCACTCAATGTAACACGTGCCATTAGTTTGAATATAGATGAGGGAGGGGAAAATTTTAATGACAAATTGTGTCTATATTCTTTAATTTATTTATTTTTTATAATTAACTCCCACATTCCACTTCCTTCCGCTTGGAAAGGAGAGGAGATTCCATTAGGCCACATGATTGGTAGTAAATTTCACAGTAAATTGTAGAGGGAATAAACAACATGATGGGTGAAAAGAACCCTCATATGGTCTTATTGGAATTATTTATATAAGAATTCCCAAATCATTTGCAATATTCTTGAATTAATGATCTCTACTGAAATATGTGGACTTTGAAAAGTCAGATAATGGGAAATCCAATAGGAACCCAGTTCTGTTACTTCAGTGTAACTACAGTGGCCATAACTGTTATCTGCACGCATGGAAACTGGAAAGAATATTAACCTGAGCATCTGCTCCCGATGAAACTAGCACGTTTAGTACATGAGAAAAGGCAAGGCCAGTAATTCTTTTAGAGTGACCTTTGAGCTTGCTTTTGACCTGCATCAAGGAAACGGTTTTCAGTAATTAGATAACAAGTGTTTCTTATTAAACCATGATGCTGATAACAATTGTCCATAAACCACATCACAATTTCCCACTTAAAAATTGTATCAGACCTCATCCACACGGACATTATATATCTGGATTGTGGAATCATCCATGCCAATAGCAATGATATTGTTATCTTGGGGATGGAATGCAAGAAATGTCGCTGCAGGTGGCGGAGGCATGAAAGTTGTCATCGTCTGCACTTGCCAGGTAGAGATTGAGATTACTCAAAAATTTCTAAAGCATAAACAATAACCATGGCCAAGGAAATACATAAAATCTTGATTCATCTGTCACCTTAAATGTCATCATATTGAAAAGAGAAACCTTTCCTCCTGAAGCAGACATTACATATGAATCATTTTTGGACAAAGCAAAGCAGGGCACGGCCTCCTCAGGGCTATCAGTAACATCATTGGTCATAAAAATGCCACTTGCTGGCTGCCATATCTGAGGTGAGATACTGGTTGTTGCCTACACAGTGCAGAATCCACTATGAATTCATTTTCACAAACTAAAGAGAAAAGACCAATAGATGAGAACAACTTTCTTTGAATCTTTCAGACCTTGCCACTTGAATGACGGTCATTTCGCTGCCATTTCCAAAGCAAATGAATGGCATTTGATGCTAATGCCAAGATAGCATTTCCTGAATTTGTATATATCAACCTTGATATCTGCAGTAATTAAAGTGAATGTGGAAACTTCTCCTTGTTAAATGAGAATGGGGACAAAAAGATCTTAATGACTAGACAAACTAATGATTTCTATTTTCAACACACACACCCCCAACCAAAAAAAGAAGAGAAATACTGATGATTTCTGAAATTTTTCAATCTAGTAAAAATTTCTTCCTGCATTAACAAAATAAACTTAATTCCTACACGAACTGCACAGATATATATAGAGTCCACAATGGGGATAAATTGTTGTCATATATTCTTTACATTTTAGTTATTCTTATATACCAGTCCAGCGAGTATTTTTATGAAAAGAACATTTAATTATCATATTTTTGCAGAGAAAGAAATATAATATAAGATGCCACTGCAGAGGCCATTGCTTGGTGCAATGAGCTTGGGCTGCCAAGTGTGAGACTGAAGTTTTGAGTGACAACAGTCACTTTGTGCAAATGCGAAATGATATCTCTGTACCCAATCCACTCCTCCCATCACCTTGGTATTGGCTTTGGTTTTACAGAGAGAAACTAGAGCTGAAGTTATATAGGATACATCTATAATTTCTGGCATGATGCCTTGGTTTTTGAGCTCCATGCTTATTCTGGCCTTGGTTTTTGAGCTCCATGCTTATGCCCCCTTGCACAAAACTATATACATCCATTGTGCATAACTGATGGTCTATTCTTTATTGCTCATGATTAGATCCTCATTTGAGGGATCAAATTTACTTCCAAAGGGTGCCAAATATATGTCATGTCACTTAAGCATTATGAAATTATGTAAGACAGCATTATTCCACTTGTAAGCACCCATAGATTTGAACTTAAACTCTGTTTAAGATACCATATAAGAGCAATGATGAAAAGATTTCTGCTGAAACTGGGAAAATTACAAAAAAGCCATAGTAATTTCTTAGCATGACCAAAAGCATTGACATGTTGAAGTATCTCATGGATAAAAGTTGGCTAGTCAAAAGTATACCTTGGTTACTCTCGAGTTTTCAGGGAGCTTCAATGTCCGGCACTGGGAAGGTTCACTGATTTCAGTGAGCTTCCAAATCTTTGACTTGTCATTGCTTTCTTCAGTTATTCTAGGTTTCACATCCCCCATATTTCTCGCATCCCCATTCTAGCAATAATAAAATTACATGTTACTTGATGTATTTCGAGTAACAATATAAATTTGTTACACTAATGTCTATTATACATACTGACCAAACAACAAATTTATTTGCATAGACAAACACAGATGCTCTTATAAAATACATAGTGTGAGTCAAAGGAGTTAGCAATGTCAATGAAAGATGTAACATTATAATGTTTGATGGACATAAAAAGGAAAACCAAGCATGTAGCACAAACCATTCCAGAGATAGCAACAACAGAGGCAACTCTTTCTGCAAGTCCTGCACTAGTAGCAGCAGCAGCAGCTGCAGCTGCAGCTGCAGTTATTGGGTTTATTGTAGGCTGCATCAGATAAAACATGTTAGGAAAGTCTATTTCAAGGAGTGGTGTGTCATTAGAACAATCAGTTATTCATAACTGCTACCTTAGTCATGGTTTCAGATGCTCTTGGAGCATCATAAGAAAGATTTTCAAATGTGCGCAGCAATCGGAGACCATCAGAATTTGCCAAAATTCTGATTCCATTTTCATTAGCAGAAACAGCCAGGAGAGTGCCATCCTTGTTGAAGCGGACGCGTGGACTTGCCTTGAATTTATTAGGTGAAAATGAGACACAGGCCACACCGCATTTATAAAATCTTCTTAAAAATAATGTCAATCATAATGAACTTACTGGAAGACCTCCATCAGCATCAATGCTGGTCAAGAGCTGAACATTATCCATATCCCAAAATTTAATGGAAAAATCGTCACCAGCAGCCAAAAACCGGTTTTTAGTTGTATCAAATTGCACAACACCCAAAGATCGTTTTCGGAACCCTTGATAGGTCCTCTTTACAGCACCTTCACTTTCATTCCATTCAACGATATGTGACTCCCCGTCTTTGCTGGTCCCACATGAAAACAGCCTGCAATATATCCCCCCAACACAAAAATAATGGTTATTGATTTCTAGTTTAACAGATAGGATAAGATGAGTAAAAGGTATTTAAATCTTATTGTGTGATTTACGTGACTTAGAAAAAAGACAGAGAGAGTAAATAGGTATTTAAATCTTATTCTGTTTATGGGTAAAAAAAATTTATTTGTACTAAACCCACAAAAAAACTATTTAAATTCATGTTAATGTCCAGTGGGAATCACACACACACACATATATATATTTATATATGCAAGATTCTTGAGAGAGTTCTTCACACGATATCAATCGTAATATGTCTTCCTTCACTTGGGGGAGAGAGACGAGAGAAAAGAGAGAGTCGATCTGCTGGAAGTAAGGGGGAGAGAGCAACTTAACTGTTGAAAGAGAGAGACAAACACGGTATTATGCATGCTCAATTTTTATTATAAAACTCAGCGCAAAACGGCACTGCTTTGCACCGGACTCTTTTAATTACTTCGAGATCCGTTCTCCCCTACATGGCAGGCTGTCTGCCACTCGATTGAGCAGCGGATGGAAGGCTCCAATGTAGAAGAGCCTGGTCCAGATTGAGTTGCTGAATTTGAGAGGGGAGAGAGAGATTCAACTTAATTATCTGGTCAATTTTTGGGGTTATACTAGATATGAAATAAGGCCTTCTCTATGCTCATCTTTTATATATCTATACATACAGATTGATAAATCATAGGTGATTAAAAATTTTGTTACATGCCTGTGAAAATGGATTGATCCATATGTTATTTATAGTTTGTAAAATTCCTCCCCTTCAAGAGAGAGAGAGTGCAGAAGTATGAAGAATGAAAAATTATATGTATAAAGATTTCAATTAAGATTATCACTTCTCTTCTGATGTGCATGTGCAATTTTATTAGTGTGTGTGTGTGTTACAGTTGACCATGCAACAATAAGTGACTGAGAGTAGTATTGGACAGTGGGTCAGTTAATCAACCTTGTTCCATCAGCACTATAAGCCATTGTCGTGCACCAGCGACCAGGGGCATCGTAATCAACACGAGATCCCAAATTGTCATATAACCATGCCTTTATCTTTCCATCCAGTGCTGTTGAAAATATAAACTGAAACATGAAAGCATAAACATGCAATCAGGAATAAGAGCAGTATGGAAAACCGTCCACGAGAAATATGAAGAGCTTGAAATATTTAATTGAAACATTAAAGCCAGAAGTTCGCCTAATGGAGTTGTTACTTGAATGTTTTCCTTGTAGTGAGGGCAGACGGAATAGACAGGAGCCTCATGACCTTCAAAAGTATACTGTCTTGCACCAGTAGTGGCATCCCAAACCTGAAATTACAAAGTATCAGAAAGGGGACTTGCAACTTCTCCACTTTCCTACAATTAAAGATATAATTATCAACTTTGGTGCATAAAAACTAGGCAAGTTAACAGCAACCCAACCTTGATGGTCTTGTCATCACCACAGGTTATTACACAAAGTTGCTTATTTGGATGAGAGAATGCCAGATCATTTACTCCACCGACATGAGCATCAATCTAGAAATAAATAAATAAGTAACCATGCAAACTAGCAAAATCCAACAGTACCAAAAAGATGGCAGAAAAAATAAATATTTAGTGGTCAGCAACTTGGGACTAAATATACCTCCAAATGTTGCCGCACGTCATCACCTCCTTGATAAGAATATATCTGAACAATGTGCCTTGAATACGCAACTCCTGTTTAATAGAAGGTTAGACAACACATTAAATATCAGTCCAGTTCAGACACACAAACACACGCATACACAAATATATAAATATCTACCATTTAAGCATCTCAATATCTTTCGAGCTTACCAAATAAAGTACCATCAGGGCTCCAAATAATGCGGTTAACGGACACACCAGGATCTTTAACTAGAGATGCCTGGATTCCATTGAAAAATATGTTAACAGTTTCAGATATAACAATTATATAAGCATTAAGAATAGGTCACATATAATAATTTGTGTCATTTTGTATTATGAATTATGGTCAGACCTGTAGAGGCATTGAACATGCACCGAGATCCCAAACTTTGAAATTTCTTAGAACCAATCTCTCCCTGGAACCAACTTCCCACAGTCCTATGTCCCCCACATTGGTGCCAACTGATGCATTACAATGTGAATACTTGAATTAGTGGCTACTTGAAATGGAAAAAGAACATGACATCAATAACCATGCAAAAGTCACATTTTAGAAGTTAAAACAAGAAAATATAACTCTAGAAAACACCAAACCTAGAAGTAGGGTCTGTTGAACAGGATGGAAATCCATGCTCATAGGAGATGACCCCTGATTTAAAGTCCTTGCAATAGTCTTGGGCAAGTCATCAGCAGCATTAAAACCTTGACTATGACCGTGACCCGTAAATGATACAGTCATTACATTAACGGGCAGATTTACCTGCATTTTTTTAAAGAGAATCAAGACATTTGGTGAGGAAAAAGTGGAAATAACATTTATAATAGAATACCACCGAGTCTTTAACTCAAGTAGTATCTCTTCTTCCCCTCACATTAGAGATTGAGGGTTCAAGTCCCATAGGGGCAATAGTGTGTATTCCTGAGAATCTAACCTAAAAAAAAAATAAAAATAAAAAAAAGTTTAATAATAATAATTGTGAATGTGAATGCAGCAAGACATAATTTACCTCATCAGACATCCCCATGGCCCTTCTTTTGGTTACATGATCTGAATCCCCTGATGGGTAATCTACAGAAGGATTAGTTGGTGGAGTCCTGGGATGTTTCAAAGCAGCTATACAGGGCAAGAAATCACATGATAGTTTAAGAATGGAGCCTTAAAATAGTAAACCTGGCAGCTTGGCAGATTAAGGAAAATCAGATACCTGGAATTGATTGAGCACTAAGAGCAGCAGCTCCACCAGAAACTGCTGGATGAGTTACAGTCGGCGGATTAGACATCCAACCGGCAAGTGGAGTTGGAACTGGTGCTGGTGTAGTTTGGAAAGGCTGAGCGCATGAAATTAAACACAATAAGAGAACCACAGTGAAACAGAGTTGATATGATAACCAACTACATCAAATACCTACCCCATGTGCACCCAGAGGTGGGAAGCCTCCAGCTTTTGGTAAGGATCCCAGCAATGGACTGTTTGCAGGCGATGGAGCACGCGCTCCATTTGGTTGTCCACACGTATGATCCACAAATAAAGTTTTTATGTCCGGATTTGGCCTTGGGTTTTTACAAAGTTGATGTTGCCAATTCAAGCTGCAAGATAAGTAAAAACTAAAAAGTCAATTTTCTCTTTGTAGTAATTTAAATAGTTGAGGTATGCGATGAGCGCCTGTGCCATTGCCAATGTATGATAGCGCAAAGTAATTGTATTTATCTAGGTTGCCTGAACTTGCCACCCCCAACATCACGATTATACATTCAACAGCACAAAACTGAAAGATAATTTAGGTAATGGCTAAGTCAGGTGTCCCGTTAATTGGACCATTATGCTTTGTTCTACATAGCATTTGAAAGTGCACACTGAACCTGAAAAGGAGATCTTCCTAAGATGATTAGTGATCATTTCAAACAACTTAAGTTGTGAAACAATCCTATGGTTTAAACATGAGGACTCATTTTAAATGCGAAAGAAGATTGATATGATCATTTCAAATGCTGTAGAAAGCACATCAAATTGGTTTCGATTCTATAAAATCAATTGCAGTTGTTTCAATTTGACATTTGTACTGGATGTAAAAGCCTCTTTCATGAGATTACCTTTGGTTAATGAGAGTCCGTAACCTTGAATTTTTCAAGTTAGGAAATTGCAGTTTGTCACGAAACAAGGGGTTTGCTTCAATAAGCTTCTTGAGCTCAACCAACATAATTGCTCTTGCAGATTTTGTATCGCCATACTTGGAGAGCTGTTCATTTTCCCTAAAATGCAATAAATAATAAATAATAAAAACCCATTTTCAAAACATTTTCTGCAGCTAGCTGTGTTGGAATCAAATTAAATCAAGCATGGAGTAGTTAATACCTGAAATTCTCCAATGTCAACAACTGAGTAATTTCCTTAAAAAGCTCTTCGTTAAATGAAGAGAAAACTTTAAGATCTTTTACAAGGATATCTACAGCCTTGGGCCTATCATGCCTATTACAAATTCAAATGTTCCCATTAATATACACCATACTACCATAGAAATCTAAACTATAAACAATAAAAGCATTAATAGTTGAAAAATAGTTTCTTCGTATAATTATAAACTTACTTGTCCAATGCCTCAAGATACTTCTGCTTCCTTATTTCAAAAAATATCTTCATGGAATACCGATTATCGTCCACTTTCGTGAAACCAGAGAGGTATCTCTCGACCTCATCCCAATTCCCATTATGCACCTCATCCTCAAAATGCTTCATGTTAAAGAAAAATCCAGATTCTTGTTCAAGCCTGTTGTGTGGAAACCCAATATTAGTATAAAATTACCAAAAAGGACAAAATATAGATTTATATATGTGCACACAACGATAAAAATCACCTACTTGTGGACAGTCTCTTTGAACTTTTCCTCATCTAGGAACTGCAAGATCAAGAACACAAGCTCTCTACTGAGAGATGACATTGTAACCACGCCCGGTCTGCAACTTTCTGCAAAACCAGATGAACAAAAAATAAGCCAAAATATAAACAGATCTGTAAAAACCCAAAAAATTAAAAAAGAAAAAGAAAAATTGCAAATATACATAGTATTAAAATTTAAAAAATGGGTCAGCTACAGGAAGGTTTATTTATTGTATTTAGCACAAGCTTCGAAATTTAAATAAATAAAGTAAAATAAAGCACAAAACATAAACCTAAATAAAATATAAAAATTAAAATAAAAAACTAGCATAGAAATCTGAAACTCTTACCAGAACTAGATCATTAAACTGATCCTCAATTTAAATCATTTTTCCACAAGATCGTCACATAGTTTTAGCACAAAAGCACACATATGAGCTACAATCAGGTTGGAAAAAGAGAAAATTTTAGGGTTCTTTAAAGGATCGGAAATATGAAAGACCCTTTAAACCATTGGAATCGTAGATGCAAAGAATAAGAGGGCAAATGTAAAAAAGCAGGTCAATAGATATAAATATATGGTATATATATAGAGAAAAAGTAAAGAGTGAGAAAGAAAAAGAGCAAAACAGTTGAAAGTAAATATTCGACAACGGACAACAGAGAGAGAACAGAGGCTTACCTTCAGAAAAGGAACAAAGAGATCGATTGAAGGGAGAAGACAACACCACCCAGAAGATAGAGATGGAGAGAGAGACGACGAACTCGAGGTTCTTTCTCTCTCTTCTTTCTCTCTCTAGTCTCTCTACCTAAGTCTTTCTCTCTCTACTCTATCGTGCGGAGAAAATAAAATACTACTATGACATTACTTGCAGGAATGGCGATTTTTATAGGAAGAGGAAGATCAGCAGTACGACTTATTAGGGTGATAAGTACGTGGTCTTATCATAAGTTCAATGACTTATATACATTTTATAATATGGTTGGGTCCCACTAAGCCGGCTACATTTTTTCCGACTTCATCGGCTCGGAATCTCCATCTGACAACTGTCCTTCAGCTTTGAGACCCGGTGTAAGGTTATTCTATTTCCATAGTGTACGTCTTTTTTAAAGTTATAACCGTAGATTAGTAGTGGGACCCATCTAAGAATAAATCGAACGGATTAAGATAGAGGAAAGTGTACCTCATAGGAGCTGTTTGGGAAAGTTGAGACAGCGACGTTCACTCCTTTCAGATACCCTTAAAAACGACAAGATCTCTCGGACGACCTCATAAACTTTGGTCCTGTTTCTTCCCTATATTACGAAACTTGCCATGGGCCTCACTTTTGTGGATATGAGATGAGATGGGCCAGCAGTGACAAAGACAGATCTCGGGAGTTGAGAGAGGACTGATTTTATCGCCGATAAATCGGGAGAGAAGATAATGCCGTTGAAATTATTGGCACAAATAGCTGTTACGTATTTAATAATCATAATTAACCAGCGAAGCTACAGACACTTCAGAACAAAGCTCCATTGTCTGTGTGGCAGTATGCACCTATCATTAATGGGGATGTGGAAATGGGAACACTTTTTAACTTCTTGAAACAGTCAACTGTTCCGAATTTTTTTAACCATAGGACACTTGGACTGGGTGTTGCAGTCTAATGAAAATTCATTTTGGCTTCTTCGTAATTTCTAGATAAATTTTAAATAATTCACTTTCTTGATTAAAAGTTTTTCGAATAGACTTAACCACATGGTCTAAAACTATCTATTGTTATAATGCTACTCATTTATAGTTTCTCAGTCTACCTCTGTTGGCCAGCAGTCATTTGAAGCACTGTTATATATATATATATATATATATATAATTATATTGAGCATTACTTATTAAACTTATTGTCAAAATAATACAATTAAAGTCATCGATGGCATAAAATAGAGTCTTTTTCTAAAGGGGGCTTATCCCTTAGTAGACCACCCTTCTTCGAATTTAACATATAAAATAATAATATTAGAGAAATTAAGCAAGAAAGGGGTGTTTCATGTTGACAAGTAAATCTAACAAGTGAGTCATACTACCATTACTCATATATATTATATACTTTGGCAATAAATTTACACAACCAATTTTTCGTTGAACTTGAAACATTAATTTTATGTTTTTAATAAGAGTCCTGTTATTTAGCCTGTTAAATAAAAACTTAATATTTCACCAAGTTTAAGTCGTTATTTATGTATTAAATATAATGGGATCCATATTAAAATATAAGATAATTAACTATTTAAAAGGTTGCAGTTCCTTTTTTAGATTTCATTTTAATCTAGTTTATATCTTTATTGACAAATAAAGTTTCAATTATATCAAATTGTGTATCTATTATACATATGCATCACATTGCCTCTTTGCATCAAAGATAAAACATTGTATCTTTGATCATTAATATACATGAATTATTTTGATAAACATTTGTTAAATGCTGTAATGATCAAAACTAATGATCTATCTTACTCTCATAAACAAAAATAAGGAGAAGAATTTTTTTAAAAAAAAATTGCAAAGTATTAAAAATATTGTAATTTTTTATGTAGATTTTGTACTAGTCAAATTCTTATATTTGAGTACCATGAAACTTGATGTGAAAACGAAAAATAAAATAAAATTTGATGATACAACCATAAATGAAAAACTAAAAAGATAGAGGAAAGGGGTTATGAAAAGAAATTTAAGAAAAGGAAAAGAAACGTATTTTATGGAAACAAACAAAAGTACTAATAATATATATTTAAGTTAAAAATTGTAAATAAGCACGCCATATTTTATTTACGTCGATTTTAAATTGGAATATTAAAATCTTCAGTGATTTCATTTTCCTTTTGATAATGATGAAGGATCACTAAACATTTACTTTATATTTGTAAAAAGTCAACTAAAATTTTAAATAAATCTTTTTATGGATTAATAAAGAAAACTCAAGCTTCGGTCAAGAGATATCTATTTTGACACGTTTGGTCTATGTTTTTATACTTTTGATTATGTGCAAATTTTGAGGGAAAGACTTGTATTCGTTTGAAAGAAAACAATATGAAAATTACAATGCCAAAATCTCCCATTAAATATGAAGATCACAAATTTTATTTAATTTTTTATATTTTCCTTCTTTTGTGCAAATTAAACTATCGAGTTTTACTAACTCATGTCACTTTTTTTTCTTTCTTTAGGCAACCCTAATAACTTGTGTCCACTAAAGATTTTTATCAATAATTAATAGACTTTCTCTCACCTTATTGAGTATATCCATCAGGAGTCTACATGAACGAATTGATATTTTGGTGAATACCATATATAAGAATTCTGACCAGCTCTGTAGGAGAGGTGTCATATGGACGGGTCCGAGACACTGGGTGAGTTATCAAAGTGACAGGAGAGGTGTCATATGGACGGGTCCGAGACACTGGGTGAGTTATCAAAGTGACAGGTTATTGGATGTTATTATCTTACATAATTTGAAAAAGTTGAAGTATTATATGTAAAGTTCAGTATATTTCAATAACACAAACGCGTTTTAAAATTGTAATGGCTAAGCCTATCATAACTCTAAAATTAAATATATCTTAAAATAAAATAATATTAAAATAAGGGACCTCTTGAAAAGTATGGAGAAGATAGTCTTTTCTAAGTTTAAAGTGTTTATTCAACTAGTATTATTAACAAATTAATTAATTTTGTTGCTGATTGAGACTTTTATTTTATTTTTTTAAATCAATGATTGACACCATAGTGGGTTATAAATTTAAGGTATTTTTATTTTATTTTAGGGTAAGGTACAGTCACATCCCCTAAAGTTTGCCAAAAGGACAGATTGATGAAAATTACTCATTTTTTAGACAATGACACTTCTTCTTCTGAAATTCCGTCCAAACAAGGCCTTAAGTCATATGAAAAGACAAAATTACCCCTCAATATTAAATTCAAATATATTACAAAATATCAGACTTCGCAAAATGACGCTATAGCCCCTTATATATACATACATACATATATACACACATGGATAAAACGTTGGTGCCTGGTAAAGCCGTGAAATTGGTTGCCGCCACTATTGTTAGTGGCGGCTACGGTGGAGGAGGGTGGTTGGAGGTTGAGTTTCTTGGAGGTGGGTTGTTGTTCTTGGAGAGACGACGACGCCGCACACCTCCCACACAACGAAGAGATCCAGTCAGAGAGGGTTGGAAGGTGAATCGAAGAGATCGGGTGTTGGAAGGCGAATCAGAGAAAGTTGGGTGACCGCCGAATGATGCGACGGTCGGTGCCGGTGGACAAGGACAAAAGAAACGGAGGGAACACCGGTGAAGGTGATTCGGAAGAGAGAAAAACAGGTCAAAAATTTAAATATACCTCTTCTAGTAGGTACAACCACTTGTTTTTGCTTGGAAATTTAAGACTTTCTGTTAGGTTTAAGGGAGTAATGCATTCCTAAGGCAAAAACTAATGTCCATTGAACTTCTTTTATATAGAAACTAATTGTGCAATTCCTTATTTAGGATAGACAGAAACTTGCGGTCTGACTACTCTTGGCTTTCCGGAAGAAATGTCCATGATTGGAACTGTTGGTTCTGTATTTGTTTATAACGAGTTGCGTCTAGAAGAGGATCCAGATATGGGTTACAATCCACTTGGAGATCCTCCGCGAGGTGAGATATGAATCAGAGGGAAAATTGCCTTTGTTGGGTACTACAAGAATCCAGAATTGACTAGAGAGACGACGAGAGATGGGTGGTTCCATACAGGTTAAGCATTCATTTTCTGGGCAGAGAAGTGCTTGTGGAAGAGTTGTAATCTGAGATTTTTCATGTTTTGGCGTTGTAATATGGACAACGAAGAGATCCAGTCAGAGAAGGTTGGGAGGTGAATCGAAGAGAGAAGAACATGTCACCGTTTAAATTCGTCCGATTAAACGGAGAGAACACCAGAGCGGCACCGGCGGGAAAGAAGAAGCGGTGAATTGGGGATGATGATGGTAGCGGTGGCTGAGGGGTTCGTCTGGCGGGGATTATGTAGTGTGTGTGTGTATACATACATACATACATAGAGAAAGGGTTTGGGTTTGGGTTTGATCCAAGAGTATTTAAGTCAATTAAAATATCAATTTTATATCAAAGGGTAATAAAGTCAATTCACCATTATCAAGGTCTCTTTATTCATTTTTTAAACTAAAAGGGGTGTCATTGTAAAAAAAAAAAATAAGGGTAAAGTACAGTGTCATTGTCCAAAAAAAATAAGGGTAAAGTACAGCCACACCCCCTGAGGTTTGGTAAAAGGACACTCAAATGAAACTTACCTGTTTTTTGGATAAAAATACCCCTTGAAGATTCAAAAATAGACAAAGACACCCATTTACATGAGAAATTGACCAAATTACCATTTGACCGTTTAGGAGACTTTTTTAACTTTACAATTTAATAAATTGGACCAATCTACCATTATGAACAATTTATGTATATAAAAAAAAAGTAACCAAAAAAAAAAAAAAATTAAATTAAATGTTCCAACTTCTTAAAAATGTAGACATCTAAAATGATTTTTTGATCCAATACATATATTTCAAATAAATTATATTTTGTTATTACTTCTTTTCTTTTTCTTTTTTATTTTTAAATTACGATGCTTAATTCTTTCATCTAAAAAAATTAAATCAATCTCTTTTTCTTAAAAATAAAAAATGTGGTACTAGTATAACTTTATGCATCTTAAATTATATATCAAATATTATGTATTTCCCAACATAAAAGGAAAAAAAATAATAAGAAAACAAAGTGGAAAAAAAAAAAAAAAAAAAAAACAAATGTATGCATAAAGTTATACTGGT